TCAGTTTACAGGTAAAAAATTGTGTACTGTGCGCAAACGAGTATCACCGGTGTTCACGTGTAGTGTATACTAGTAGCATAGATAATAAAGATATGGATAGCACATAATGGTCTTATCAGCGGTCTTCCAGGGGAATAATTGAGGCCAAATAAAGTATATCTATATGGAGTATCGACTGTCAACAAAAAATGTAAACAAATCGCCTCAATTTCTTATCTATGTTGGACCGCAAAACTAATACGTAATGAATTTGAGGCGTCCTATCCATGTATTTATTATCTATGACTAGTAGTCAGAATATGGAAAAACGCTATTACGGTTATCTATAGTTTATCAACGTTGAAATACTTTCGCTGATTATAAATATTTGGTATTGATAATGTGATAGTTGTATTATACGTGTAATATTATTTTATGTAAAAATGTTTTAATTAAAAAAAAAAAAATATTCAATAATGTTTACTGTCTGTATAAAAAAATATATAATATCCTAAAACGTATATAATATATAAATTTAAATTATTTTTGTTGCTTTTACATCGAGATTGATCGAAAGCCGTGGATACACGGTGGTAGTAAACACGATAGTTGTTACTATCACACTATTACGATGAACTAGCATAGAAACTATCACGTATTTTCTATTATCGTGTTATCACGGTTTCATTAGTAATTAAGCACGGACTAAGATATACAGGACTGGACACGACAAGGTTGGAGGGTGTGGGGGGTTGACTACGAAATGTTTTACAACAGGCAGTGTTCGGGGGGATATTTTCCTTTTAGCATTACTAGCGCCGTCTTAGTGGATACTGTGTGGATCACATTATTGTCATCTAGTTCCAAAAGTATCCACTAAGACGGCGCTAGTAATGCTAAAAGGAAAATATCCCCCCGAACTCCGTCTGTTGTAAAACATTTCGTAACCACAATATTCATCTCGTGTCCAGTCCTGTATATCTTAGTCCGTGATTAAAAGTATGGTTCTATGTTATAAATACTATAATATTGCCTAGTTAATATTTTAACTGTGATGTGAAAACTTGTCAAATAATATGAGTTAAATATAATATAATATAATATAAAGGAAAAATAATATTGTATCGCTTATAATTATTATGACTCGACTTTTTTTATTTTATTGAATATATTGATTACCTAATAAATAAATATTAACATTTACAGTATATAGATAATGAACTTTTAGCATTCATATGATTATTGTTGTGAACAAATTCAATATTATGAAGAGCAGATTGTAGCATCAACGAAGATGATTGGTGAAAATAAAATTAAAATGGAATCTCGTTCAAACCAAACGTTAATAAAACATAAAATTGAAGAAAAATATGAATTACTTGAAAAAACTTTAGACGAAGAAGACGAAGAAGAAAATATACATAAAAACAAAATTAAAACAATAAACCAAAAAATTAAAAAATTAAAATATGAAAAAAAACAACTTAATCTAGACTACCAACAATCATAATATACATACCTATTATAAATGTAGATTATGCATATGCAATTCTTTACATTCACTGCACAGAGAATTAGAATCTTTGAATATAGACTAAAACTAATATGTAATAATATAATTAGTAATTATTATATCATTGACAATAAATATATATATATATATACGTATATTCAATGTTGTTTAATAAATAATCGTTTTAATTATTAGATTTATAAATTATACATTTCATACAAATGTATTTAGCTAAAATTATAGATAATGAATTTTTAGCATTCATATGATTATTGTTGTGAACAAATGTATTATTATGAAGAGCAGATTGTAGCATTAACGAAGATGATTGATGAAAATAAAATTAAAGAGAGATACGAATATAAAGATCTTAAAAAAAAAAATTAGAAACCTCAAATTCACTATTTATTTAAGTAGAACAAATTCTAAACCAAATTTGTCTTATATAAAAGAGTTAAATGTTCACAAATTCTATGCATTTTTTCTAGAATAAAAAAAATGGAGTCAACAGCAATGATATGGGAAGAAATTAACAAGATATTGTGTCAACTCAAAGCAAACAACCGTAGCATGGATGAAGACAAAGTAAAGTCGCTTTCAGAAAAAAAATGAAAGATTTGAATATCAGGATTAAGAATGCGACTTTGAAAACAACCAGACATAAATTAAAAGAAGAGAAACAGGAATTATTAAATGATTTTAAAAGTTTAATTTATTCAACCTTTCTATGCGAAAGAAATATACAAAAAGGCTTGAGTATATTGTACGATAAATTAGATAGAATAGAATTAGAATATTATAGTCGTTGATACAATTCTGTTTTTCCGAAATAAAATCGATTAAATAAATTATTTATTATTTTATATTATAATTATACATCGAATGTTATTGAAATAAATTATAACCTATATCATTTCTGTGTCTATAATATTCAATACTGTCTAAGTTTTATAATCGTTCAAATAAAAATAATTTAATACTGGATTGACTAAAATGTTTTTTTTCTTTGTAATAATCTAGAATTAATACTATTATTATATTTTGACAAAATATTCTAAATTGCTTACATAAAATTTTAAAAAAGAAGTTGATGTTATAATAAAATATCACAATATTATTATTATTGCTTATGCTTTTTTTTTATTTGATCTATTTTCAGTTTTACAATGAAAAGAAAAACGGTTACAAAACGTCAGCGGATGATGTCTTCTGATGAAGGTTTATTTGAAATTGAAAGATTTAAAAAATGTTCGAAAACATTTTTAATTAAGAATACTTTAGATTTTATAGACTACACACTTTGTTTTAACTATGTTAGAGATAAATTAATTTTAAAGTTAAAACAATCATGTTTACAATCATCTATAAAATTTAATTTACATGTGGATAGTGTATACGAACGAATAATTACTCAAGAAGTTCAGGACATAGCATTCAAAACTTCTAATACACTTGCATGTAATTCATCCGATTTCAATAAATTATTAAATAGGATGTTCGATAAATTATTATCCGAGCAAGACCAGTTTTTAGCGAAAGGATCTGGGTGGTCTCTTAAGAGTATAGATGTATTGCAATTAAGAATTAATATAGTGAATCCCCTCAGGGGATGAACGTATATAGATTTACCTGAATATATGAAAGTTAAAAGGGCAATTATAAATGTGAAAAAATAACGATGGTAAATGTTTTAAATATTCAATACTATCTAAGTTTGATAATCGTTCGAATAAAACTTATTTTAAATAAAAAATATTTTAAAATGTCAGAAAAAAAGTGGTTTAGATTTTCAATGTATTGATTTTCCACACCACATCAGTTAGATGAAAAAATTTGAACGTGTAAACGATGTATCAATTAATCTTTATAGTTTAAATGATAAAGAACATATTTTTTTCCTCTGTATATATGTGATACTGAAAGAAAAAAACAATTCGATCTATTTTTGTTTAATAATAACGAAACATCACATTACTGTTATATAAAAAAAATTTCAAGATTCGTTAGCACATGCTAATGCTAACCCATTTGAAAAAAAGGCAAAATTTGTAAAGAAATATATAATTAAAAATCACATGCAATTTAATAATTATATGGATATACTAAACGCTTTTATAAATCATAGAACTAACTAACATATAACTAAACTAAATAACATATTTTATGACTGGTCAGCTAAACTATTCAAAATAATAATAATAATAATAAAAACGTATAAAGATTACATTTAGCTAAAAACAGAATAAATATTATACTAACGGGTGTATAAGAAGTTGTCTATAGAGACCCCTTAATAAAAAAAACTATTTATTAATACTATATTATTACCACATACTATATTAAAGAACAATATTATTAAATAAGAAAAAAACTTCATATTATATATATATATATATATATATAAGTAGATAGATAGTGTATGTCCTGGCGCAGTCGGTTTTTTTACAATCAAAAAAATCTCCTTAAAATTAGCTTATTTCAACATTTTTACATCAAATTTTGATATTTTTTACATCGAATTTAGACTACTTTTTGTATACAATTTGTATACAATTACATCGATATTTCACATTTTTTATATAAAATTACATACATTTAGTTATCAATTACAAATATACATTTTTAAATCATTCAATTACAATTTCATACATCATAAATAAATTGCAAACAAATAACAACCAAAGTATTTTCATTTTCTACAACATAAACAGCATTTTACCTTTGCTATTATGTAAGTTTGACCATGTATTAAAAGCCTTTTTTCAAAAAAGTCCGTCATTTATTTTTTCATTTTAGGACAATGGTAATATTTCGTAATACTAAGTTTGTGACGTCAAATAGAACATTCTAGAAGAGATTTGTACTCTTGTTTCCATTTTTTAGGATTGAGTATACCTTATTTTTTATACTATGGCGCAAATTGCATAATATTACGTAATATTGCATCATGTTTTTGGATTGAGTATACCTTATTTTTTTATACTATGGCGCGAATAGAACATTCTATAAGGTTCTTCTTCTCTAGATTACGTAATATTGCATCATGTTTTTCGAGGCTATAAATACAAGCCACTATTGAGTTTTGACTCATTCGTGGGCATACTGTAGCCGTTTTTAGTCGTCTAAATTGCTCTATAAGTCTATACATATATATATAGATATATAAAACAATTTTTCCAACAAAAATCACTCAAGTATCATTTGTTTACAACTTAAATATTTACAAATAAAAATATTGAATTGAGATGTTGAATTGAAATTCCAAGTTTGTAGATGTTGAATTGAAATTCCAAGTTTGTAGATGTTGAATTGAAATTCCAAGTTTGTAATTGTTGAATTGAAATTCCAAGTTTGTAGATGTTGAATTGAAATTCCAAGTTTGTAATTGTTGAATTGAAATTCCAGTTTTAATGAGATGAGACATTGATTTTTATAGACAACTTAAACTCAAAAGCATAATTAGTAGCATGATGTAATTAAAAAATTTTGTATATAAATAAATATAAAAATGAATCGAAATAATAAAATTATCCGTATCTATGAGTTGATAAATAGAGATGAGGTATTATTGCAGTCTTTGAAAGCAGGAGATGAATATTTATGTTCAAAATGTGAAACATTCAAGAGTGTTAATGAATTTAGTAAAAACCAAAAATGGTGTAAAGGTTGTATGAAAACCAAAGTTAGCACTGAATTGGTAGCATGTGAATGTGGTCAAGTAATGCATTTAAGAGCCCATAAGAGGCATTTGTTAACTAAATCTCACTCAAAAAGGATGGATAATATGAGTAAAGAGAACACTCCCCAAGAATAATTTTCGTTATTAAAAAATTTACTTATTAAATAAAAACAAAAATTTCTATTTAAAAAAATATCTTTGTCAAAAACTTTATTACAATCAGTGTGAAATGTGTTACACGGTAAATCTGAGTGCTCCAAGGGGACATTCCACGCTTGAACTTTTTTTTTCCCTGGAAAGCTGGCTGTGAACATACAAATATATACTACTCTCGTTGATATAACTCAGCTCCTTAATGAGTTGAATTTAAAACTGCAAGGAGCAAACTCGTTAATTTCAGATACATATTCCTACATCAAAGCGTTCAAATTAAAATTAACTCTATTTACAAATCAATTAATAGAAAAAATCTTGCCCATTTTCCAACATGCAACAAATTCAAACTTGAAAATAATGAAGAATTCCCTACCGATTTTGCTGTTGGAGTTCTCACCTACTTGAATGAGCAGTTCCAGACGCGGTTTAGAGATTTTGAAAGTGCAGAAGACCGTATTCGAATTTTTGAAAATCCGTTTGCCATAAAAATAGAAACTTTACCGACAGAGCTCCAGCTTGAAGTTATCGAGCTCATATCAAATAACAATTTTAAAGACTATTTCAAGGAATCCAGTCTATAACAATTTTACGCCATGTTGCCAGAGGAATCATTTCCAAATCTCAAAAAACATGCCCGTGAAATGATGTCAATATTTAGCTCAACATACTTATGTGAGCAGACGTTTTCAAAAATGAAATACGTCAAATCTAAGTACAGAACTAACTTAAGTGACGAACACTTACAAGCTACGCTGCTAATTGGAACCACGAAGTTTGATGCAAACTATCAAGACATTTTAAAAAACAAGCAGTTCCAAACGTCTCACTTAGTAACTTACTCGTATCATAATAAAACAAATTTTGAATTATATAAATAAACATAGATCTTTTTAAATAAATCTCATATATTCTTATTTATTTCTCAATTTCATAACCTATCCTAGATTCCTAGATAGACAACAATTTTTTTTTTTTTTTTAGAGAACACATTTCTAAAAAGGTTGGCCCGCGATGAAAAAGCGTATATCAAATTTGGCCCGCCGTAAAAAAAGGTTGGAGACCCCTGATTTATACTGTACCTACTACCTATACCTTTATTATCTGTATAAACTATAAACTTCGTGTGTGCTTTTGAACATCATAATAACGCATTAATATCAAATAATATGTACCTAATATGTAATATTTATGTACAGATACAGAATAGGCGCAATTTGGACAACTGATTTGAGGGAAATTTATAAAATCAATGCAGACCCGCATCATTTTTTATTAGGTGGATTTATGAATGAATATATTTAAAAACTTAGGGTGGCTTAAATAAAACTAGATGGGGCTAAGCCCGCCCTAAACCACCCAAATTTCGACTATATACACAATACACGAGGAAATTTGGTATTTTTAAAAGCAACATTAAGTTTTTACAATTAGGTATATAAAAGATATTATTTTCTTTGTTTTTAACATGGGTACGTTACGAGATCCATATAATATTAATATTATAGGTAGGTACTGCAACTGCTAAGTGTGTTCAATAAAACTAATACAAGTATACGTTGTGGGATCCAGTCTATGAAAAATTAATAGCAACGTAAGGTTTTTACATTTATAAAAAATATATTATTTTCATTGTTTTTATCATTTGTACGTTACGAGATCCATATAATATTAATATTATAGGTACTGCAACTGCTAAGTGTTATATGTGTTTAATAAAACTAACAGTGGCGTACATACGGGGGGGGTTTTCGAGTTCAAACCCCCCCCCCCCCAGGACCAAAAAAAAAATAAAAAAAATAATGTGATACTATTGATGAATTTCTTATTATTAATCAACCGTGTATACACAAATATACGTCATAATAATATGACTATTGAGTAAACACTAAACACTATACTTAACCAACAACGAAAAAAGATTTCATAACGAAATTATGGGTGCCGTATAATATGGTATATCAATCAAAATAGACATTATTTTGATCGTACACAGTCAGTTAGTTGCGTGCGGATATAAATACATATTAATATTGTCTTTATCTCGACCGACTCATTATAAACACACAAGACTGGGTGAGTTAAGTTTTTTTTTTTTTAACTCAGTTAAGTTAATATGCATACACATAAAGATATAGTATATATTGTATTTTTAAGTACAGAAGTTACCTATCACATAAGTAATAAGTAATAAATAATAATAAATAAGTATTATATATTTTAGTTGTCTTTCAAACAGATATTATTTGTGTACTTACATCATAATACGATGAGTAGGTATTTTTAATTTTAATGTTTTAACTATCAACGTGAATAGGTACTGTTAATAATAATTTTTAATAATAATTAATAATCTCACAAAACCGTAAAATCATAAAATCAATAGGTAATTGATTTATTTTTTTTTGTTTATTTTTAGATTTTAGTGTCGGCAAACTATATCATAATATTATGTCTATAATCTATATTATTGAAATTTTGACATGGCAACAAAATAGACTCAACATTTCCAGTTGATAGATCTAAGAACAAGCATATTAAAAATCAAAATTATAAATAAATAACCTTTATAGTTTATATTATGTATTTTAGAAGTTATATCTATGTGCTACTGAGCTCTCACCTGTAGTACCTAGTAGATTGTTGGCCTAAATCAGCAATCAATTCATCAACGCCAGTCTCATGAGGTCCTACATCGTTTTGTTTTTCAGTAATCTTAGATGGATTTTTATATAAAGCTTCAACTGGATATGATTTGTCAACATTTTGAATTGATATGTCTTACCAATAACAATATTTAAGTTATCAAAATAAGATATTAAATATACACATTATATAACAAAAATTGCCTTATATTTATTATTTAAAATGTATTTCTTTTACCTGCAGTTGTTTGACCTTGTGTTTCATTTGATTCACCACTCTTTGATTGATCGTGCGAAAAACTATTTTGTGTTTCATTAGTTGCCAATAAACTATTATTAACAATTTCTGTCATGTAGCACTCATTTACATTTTGTGTTGAAATATCTAACAGTAAAATATATTTAACTAAAATTAGATAAAACTATATTATGTATAATATATTAAAAATACACGATTATGATTTGGTATTAGATAATACGTCAAATTCATAAAATATTTTTCTATACGATCTACACTCTATTCTGTGGAACACTGGAGCCTTAATATTATTTAACCTTCATCCAGGCGCGCGGGCGGTAATTTACCGCTTCTTTCAAAAAAGGGCTCGGAATTTTTACTGGCGCGTGTTAATGAGGACGGGAGTTATCTGTATTCTCAGTTAACACAATATGACACTAGGTGGCAGTGTCGCCTTAGACATTGTTTCACGGTCAGTCGTATCAGTCAACGTCAAACGTGTACAGTCCGTGGTTGGCGGTAGTTTACCAGACACGCGCCTCTTAGTGTTTTTTTTTCTACCAGCAATCTCAACCAAATGTAAGTATTGATTTCATATTTTTCTTAGGTATATTGCATTTATATTCCATAAGTCCATAGTAAACGTATCCAATAGCATTACCATGTCATAATTGTAATATTCTGCTATTACAAAACAAAAATAGACATTTCATTATTTGAGTCTATTTTGTTGCCATGTCAAAATTTCAATAATATAGATTATAGACATAATATTATGATATAGTTTGCCGACACTAAAATCTAAAAATAAACAAAAAAAAATAAATCAATTACCTATTGATTTTATGATTTTACGGTTTTGTGAGATTATTAATTATTATTAAAAATTATTATTAACAGTACCTATTCACGTTGATAGTTAAAACATTAAAATTAAAAATACCTACTCATCGTATTATGATGTAAGTACACAAATAATATCTGTTTGAAAGACAACTAAAATATATAATACTTATTTATTATTATTTATTACTTATTACTTATGTGATAGGTAACTTCTGTACTTAAAAATACAATATATACTATATCTTTATGTGTATGCATATTAACTTAACTGAGTTAAAAAAAAAAAAACTTAACTCACCCAGTCTTGTGTGTTTATAATGAGTCGGTCGAGATAAAGACAATATTAATATGTATTTATATCCGCACGCAACTAACTGACTGTGTACGATCAAAATAATGTCTATTTTGATTGATATACCATATTATACGGCACCCATAATTTCGTTATGAAATCTTTTTTCGTTGTTGGTTAAGTATAGTGTTTAGTGTTTACTCAATAGTCATATTATTATGACGTATATTTGTGTATACACGGTTGATTAATAATAAGAAATTCATCAATAGTATCACATTATTTTTTTTATTTTTTTTTTGGTCCTGGGGGGGGGGGGGGGGTTTGAACTCGAAAACCCCCCCCGTATGTACGCCACTGTTAGTTTTATTAAACACATATAACACTTAGCAGTTGCAGTACCTATAATATTAATATTATATGGATCTCGTAACGTACAAATGATAAAAACAATGAAAATAATATATTTTTTATAAATGTAAAAACCTTACGTTGCTATTAATTTTTCATAGACTGGATCCCACAACGTATACTTGTATTAGTTTTATTGAACACACTTAGCAGTTGCAGTACCTACCTATAATATTAATATTATATGGATCTCGTAACGTACCCATGTTAAAAACAAAGAAAATAATATCTTTTATATACCTAATTGTAAAAACTTAATGTTGCTTTTAAAAATACCAAATTTCCTCGTGTATTGTGTATATAGTCGAAATTTGGGTGGTTTAGGGCGGGCTTAGCCCCATCTAGTTTTATTTAAGCCACCCTAAGTTTTTAAATATATTCATTCATAAATCCACCTAATAAAAAATGATGCGGGTCTGCATTGATTTTATAAATTTCCCTCAAATCAGTTGTCCAAATTGCGCCTATTCTGTATCTGTACATAAATATTACATATTAGGTACATATTATTTGATATTAATGCGTTATTATGATGTTCAAAAGCACACAC